AAATTTGTGGTTAAAAAAGAAGGAAATTTTTTTCTTTACATGTAATATTATTTTAATGAAAAATGTGTGGTTGAAAATGAGTACTGTAGAAGAAATAATATGATAGAATGGTAAACAAACATACTCTTAGAGATCCACAAACAAAAAATAAAAGAATTTGGGAATTGTTTGATAAAGTTTTAGCGAATGCAGCTAGCAATAATTTGAATTAATATTGTCAAAATCTCTTCCCTTTTTAATTGAACATTGTTGTGAAAAGAGAAGAGAGCAAAGAGAAGTCAATATATTTGTGTGTATTTTATTAAGAACCAAAATCCTGTATTTATATGACAGAATCATGAATACAACAGTAATAATTTCTAGAGATACAGGAGTGTAATTATCATTCACATCTAAACTCTAATAAACTTACATTTTACAACACTCTCTCTTGAACGACACATTACAAAATATTAGTTTCGTTAAAACCTTGTTTGAAAAAATTCAATGGGACAAAAAAATCAAACGAAGGAAAAAGAGTACAGTTATTTTGGAGTATTAAAAGTAAATAATGTCTCATTAAAATCTTGCTAAGAAAATCCAGTGGGATAAAACCTAAGCGATGGAAAAGAATACAACTATTCCCTCTGATATTGATCATTGAAAATTTTTGAGTCGACGCATTTCAATCTTATGAATTAATTTCTTGAATGTAAATGTCGGAAATGCTTTTGTGAATAAATCGACTATATTGTCGCTTGAACGAATTTGTTAGACATCGATGTTACTATTCTTTTGAAACTCACGTGTACGAAAGAATTTGAGAGAAATATGCTTCGTCCAGTTACCTTTGATATAGTCTCCTCTGAATTGTGCAATACAAGTTGCATTGTTTTCATACAAAATTGTTGGATTATCTTTTGTTAAAGTTAACTCGCATAATGCTTGGATATGGTGGGTCATGTTTCTCAACCATACAAATTTTCGTCATGCTTCATAGATTACAATAATTTGAGAATAATTTGAAGACGAAGCTGTTAAGGATTGCTTCACAAATCTCCATGATATAGTTGTTCTTCCACGTGTAAACACATATCCTATTTTTTATTTAACTTTATGTGGATCAGATAGATAACTTGCATCTGTATATCCTACTAAAACAAATCCCGACTTTTGAGAATAAAATAATCTCAAATCAATAGTGCCCTTGAAACAACGAAAAATACGTTTAACACCATTCCAATGTCTTTAAGTTGGTGTAATACTATATCTTACAAGGTGATTTACAGAAAAAGTTATGTCAGGTCGAGTGCAATTTGCAAGATAAGTTAATGTTCCAATTACCCTAGGATATTGTACTTCAGGACCAAGAACATTTTCTCTATTTTCGAGTGGACGAAATTGATCTTCTTCTTCTTTTCACATGAAGTGATCGAACAATTATAGGTGATGTCAATGGATATCCATTATTCGTAAAAATGTTTTAAGACTTTTTTCGTATATGTAGATTGATGAACATATAATCATTATACGTTTAATTTGCAATCCGAGACAAAATTTGGTTTTTTCCCAAATCCTTCATCTCAAATTCATTTTTCAAATAATTAGCAGTTTTGTTGAGCTCTTCAGGAGTTCCAATTAAATTTAAATTATTAATATAAAATGTCATTATGCAAATCCAACATTTGTTTTCTTTGTGAAAATATATGGGCAGATATCGTCATTTTTATAGCATTCATTCAACACATGCTTGCTAAGGTGATTATGCCATATGCATCCGGATTGTTTCAATCAATACAATGATTTGAGAACATGGTTCTCCGGCGTGTATCGTTTGACTTATGCTTCAGACATATTAAATCTTTCAAAGATAACATTAATAGTCATGCTAGATAAGTAGACTATCATATATTTTAAAATTCATGTATCGTGAAGATAACATGATATAGACTTGTGATTTCATCCACGATGATCATTACGAAATTCATTGTGTTAAAAGTCGTGCATTACACATTATGACTTCATTTTTCTCATTTCATTTCGTATAAGTATATACCTTTAAAATTTTCGGACTACAAGTCCAAAAACTTCTAGTAAATTCAATTTAATATTGCGTGCATTTTATTTGGCTAAACATTACTTCGATCGATATATTTCGACGCATTTATTATGATTTCTCGCTTTTTATAATATGATGTAGTACATCATGTGTAAAAATGTTGTCGACTACTTTTTCTTTTCTTGTTCCATTCTATTTCTTTTTACAAAGAACAATATTGCATTACGATATTAATGAAATAGTAATTGTTTTGAAAGTGTAAATATATTTACACAACAAATTTTGTTAACTACACCACATTTTTAATTACAATGAATGTTTCTAAACTTTTCTTATTTCTATACTTATGTTTTCAACTTTCTCTTGAAATATTTATCATCAACCCTAAGGGTGGGCGCGAGTCGGTTCGGTTCGGTTCGGTTCGGAATTTTCGGGTATCTAGTAAATGGAATCGTCGGGTCCAAATATAATTATGGAACCGTTCGAGTTTGGTTCTGTTCGGTTCAGTTCGGTTCGGTTCCGTTCGATTCTGTGCTATAATTAAATTTTTTAACATTTATAACAATATTATATAAATACAACTAATGATAAATTCAATGGTTTTGGAATGTCAGAGACTAATAAACTACCTTGTTCAAATGATCGCTAAGGTCAAAGTTTCGGTCGGCGAAGGTCACAGCTTCGATCGGAGGTCACAGTGTCGGCCGACGATTGTATAGATTTTGGAATATTAGCGAGGCTGATAGAGCCGAGACAATGTTATGCACTTTAGTGTAGGTGTTTAGGGTTATTTAGTGGATTGAATCTTGTTAGGCTAAGAAATGAAACAATAAAATGGGTAATTCGGCCAAAAATTAAAAAATTAGAAATGAAACAAATTATTGAGCCAAAATTTGGATTTAGAAATTGTTAATTTGATAATTTGTTTAGAAAAAATTAAAACTAAAATAATTTGATTTACTCAATATAAAAAAAATTAGAAAGATTCGATTTTTCGGTTCTTGGTCTAGAACCGAGAACCGAACCGTACCCGTCGGTTCTTAATTCAGATACCCGTTCGGGTATTTAATTTGACAAGAACCATCGGGTTCGGTTCAGTTCGATTCGGTCGGTTCGGTTCGGGAGATTTGCCCAACCCTAATCAACCCTCTATTATGAAGGCCAAAAGACATTCGCCCAAAAGAACCGCTCACTAGCAAGTTGGACTAGTGGGGGCTCGCTTGGAGAAAGTGCTCTACTAGTGAAATCGATCCTCTCTCGTATTTTCAAATAATCGAAATAAATAATTAATACAAATGTTAAACAAATTTTTTGTCCATATTTTCAATGCACATTAGTAGAATATTTGGATAAAAATGATGATTAGAGACAAACTATGTTAATTAATTGAATAATAAGAATAACAATGAGATGAGAAAAAAGTTGGGGCCATAAAAGTAAAAGTGGTCAAATATTGGAAACCTTTCTTTTATTTTAAAATTGGCGCATATATAAAAAGTTGTTGTGTGGATATAATTATCATTTTTAAAATTTTCAAATTTTAATATGGACAGATGTTGAGTATGATGGATATATAACAGTGGTGGATATATAAATAGCGGCTCCCTAAGTATGTTGTATTTAATATTTTTGAATATATATTAAAAGGTTATAGGAAACATGAAATTGTGGATCATTTGCAAAAGAAATCCACATAATTAATAATTATTATTTTGCCCATAGTCGCTAAATCACAATAGCTTTTTATTTTGAAAGATTATGGTATTGTGCTTCTTTCATATGGAATCAAGAATGTCAAAATGATAATGTCTTTTCCAAATGGTATAAAGAAATTTGATTCTCAAGATCCGAGAAGAGAAGAGGAGAAATAAGTGAAAGGATCGTGTGCTTGAAAAACAAATGTGTTATTAAATGAACAGAATAGATTTTTTATCCAACTGTTCTATTAGTCTCGTTATAAGCTGCTAAAGGCATCATTTCACAACTATTAATTGTAATCGAACTTTCCTCCAAGCTCTCGAATTTGATTCTAGATTTTAAATATGATGTTTGGGCAATTATTAGATCGTATTCAAACGAGCTACCTTGTCACTTTCTAAATAAGTTATTTTCCCCCAATTTTCACGCGTCTTAATCTTGATCTTGATCACTCCCACAAGAATATAACAGTATAATAGAGCAAATTCGTCGATAGTACTGCACCATGAGTTGTATGTCTTCATGAATGACTGAGTAGTTTCTTGGATAATAGAAGCAATGTTATTCATGTATTGGACATGACTCCGTGAAATTTAATTTACAATAAAATAATAATTTCACTGGATCAATTAAATACATTAATTGATTGAATAATAAAGATTGTATACATAATTTTCAACAACCCAAACATGATTAAGGTAGTTGACCATCGGTCACTGGTTGAATTGGTGGATCATCGATAAATTATTGTTTGAAAAATTTCAACATATAATTCTTTTCAGGCAAGCTGAAGTTTTAAATCATATTCCATGTTGTTCACACATTGTTTTCGTAATTTTGTAATAATATAGCATCACCATAAAGTTTATATTATTCATATTCTTGCAACAAAGTTTACACACTGGTTTATAATTTACAATAAACTTTATATCTATTCATATTATTTTATGCAAAAAGCCATTCTCATTATTAACGAATGAAAAAAATGTATATCAAGGAATAAGATTATCTGAACCTCAATTTTCGATTTACTCGTATGTTAACCGGTTCATATGCTGCTTGGTCCTATGAATTAGGACGGCCCGGTTCGGTGACAGTCTGGATCAGCGGTTTTCAAGTGGACCCGATCAATCCGGGATGAGTTTTAAAACTATTGGAATTATTATTTCTTTTCTGAGTAAGGGTGCAAAGGTGTACGGTATGAAAATAAGAAAAAACTACTGGCAAATGAAATTACCAACATTATATAATTTACACAATGCTGTTGTTATCCAAGTTGCAGCCAAATTCTTCATTGAAGTAGAAAATAATCATCGTCCGGATCAAATTCGACATCCGGGAAATCCAGCAAACGTGCTCTACTAGATGTGTAAATAGGCCACATATCATATATTTCAAATATATAGCACAACATGTTCAGTAATATGAAGTGTTCACTAATCTCACGGGAAGTGAAACTTTAAATGCAATTTGCCGGAGCTATCATTTTAATTGATTTATAGAAGCAGGAAACATCAGATATCAAGAAAGGCGATCAACTTTGTTGCTTAATCTCACTAGATATCAAGAATCTGACAGCTGACTAGCTCGGCCAGTCCAACGCGCCTTCTGGCAATGACTTTCCAAATACTTTCGGGAGTTCTAGTCACCGCTTCAGAAAGCTCTTGCGAGGATTCACCTATAGAAGACGATGAGGTAGATGGAGTCGAACCAAATTGGTTTTGCCTATCAGCCTGCATGACTGAGATGTTATGATTCACGTCTTTAGTGATCACGTGAAGCTTTCCAAGGAAACCGGCAAGTAAATATGGAGACTCCGAATCAGTGAGGTCAAGGACGGGCACGTCTCCTTCAATTGCTTTCCAAGAATCGTCTTGATGATCATACACTTTGATCCGAGCACTATCAAGAGAACTTGAGGGATCCAATGCATATAACTCTTCATCAACGATGACACTCAACTTCGTCCCTGCCTGCCTGGCAGGCCAACCCTCTCCCATGCCAATAGGCATTTCAACCCACGCATTTGATTCTGGATCATATACCTCCCCTCCAACGTCGACGAAAAATGGCCAGCAATATAAACTTTGAGGAACATATAGTTTTCCCCGATATGATGTCATTCCGGTTGCAATAGGCTTCAGCAAATCAGATAGAAAAGCAGTTGGTAGCACCTGAGCTTTTGAAAAAGGCATGCTAGGGATTTCAGTCCATATACCGGAACAAGGATCAAATACTTCAGCACATTGAAGAGGGGTGAGTCCAGCACGACCCCGGGTGACACCTCCGACAACATAAAGCTTGTTGTTTAAGACACCTGTCTTACAGTAAGCTCGGCCGGTAGACATGGGTGTCACTTCACTCCAAGAATTAACACTTGGATCATAACGCCAGACAGACCTCATGGCTGAAGCCCTGCAAAAACCACCCAGGACATAAAGGCAGCCATTGACAGCACAAATAGCACAACCACAAAACGGAATTTGATCCCACATATCCTTCCTGCCAAGCCAGCCTCTTATGGCATCTGCAATTCTAGCACTTGAACCAACCATGTTCCACACCCGAAATCCAGATAAGCCCCTTCTAGAACCATCTTCAGCAGCAATATTGGGCATTGGAGGCAGTCTTTGCCATATCTGGGACACAGGGTCGAGGGCATACCAAACAAGCTTATCGCCGTCGATTCTCGTCAAAATGTAGAGCCACTCCTCCGTTGTTGCAAGTTCTTTTCTTAACCTATAAAGTTCTCCACCCATAATAGCAGCTTTCCAGCTCCTGGAGACCTGCTTTGCATTGAAATGCCAAATTCTTGGGAGTCGGGCGATGATCTGAATCGATATTTCATCCGGAAGGCTAGGAAATAGCCGCGGATTCTCATCCCAAAAGCTTGATGATGTCCTTTGTCGCTTACACGCTTCAATCTGTGAGACCTCAAAGTGTTCACTTGTGCTTGCCTTTTGATTATTTGAACTCAATCTAGCTCCCATTTGGGTTTCTTCTTCTTTACCTTCCTATCTATAAGAAAAATTAGTATCTATGACTTGTTCAATCCTCTATTGCATGCATTGCAAATCCATCTTCTTGCTAAAGGATATATACAACAAGTATAAGATCAGAAAGAACGAACTACTGAATTCCTATTCCGAAACACACATAAAACAGAGTGATCAATTGATGATCATCATCCAAAAATTCACAAACCACTTCTTATGGACTCATAACATTTCTCAGACTTATATATCACCTAGCGAAGACTCCAATAGTTAAAATCCAAATCAGAAATTCAACTTTTTATGTACAAATTCGAAAGAAAAATAAATAACCCTAAATGTCAAAACTAATGAACACAGGATACCAGAACCCATTATTTCTAATGCCTCAAGCATATATGATTTAAATTTTTTCCATATTAAAATTAAAAATTCAAATTCAATTGCAATTCATACAATCAAAATTGAGCCAAAATAAATTTCTGGACAGTCAATTTTTATTTTTATTTTTATTTTTATTATTTTTTTAAACCTACAAAATCATTGACAAGGATCCATAAATAAAATTTCGAAATTTTACTTCCTTCGCACGATCTATAATTCTTTATCCGCCAAAAATATCACAAAGCATCTGAGAAAACAAAGCGAGCCCAGATAATAAATCATGAAAATTTTCAAGGAGAACCGACCAAATTAAATCCCCCGAAAAAAATAATTCACACAAATAGATACCCACATATCAGAACAACAAAAAGAAATAAACAAATTTTGTTAACAAAAAGACTAGGTTTTACCTCGACGAAAGGATATAAAATTTGAGATTTGAGTGGAGAAATAGAGAGAAACGAATTATTGAACAGGGGGCATTTTGGACAACAAAACGCGGTTTTTAGATATTTTGGATTGAAATACAAGGGACCTTGCTGCCACTTCCACAGCCTTTGGTGACTTTTATGGGTATTTGGTGCTGTCACTCGCCCCTTCATGGTACAAATGATTCTTGAAAGAAATGAATTTAATTAATTAATTGAATATGAGGAAAAGGGGAATTTTTTTATTTATTTTGGATAATGATTTGATTAGAGGCTATTTAATTATTTAAAAATGACTTTGGTTAGACTATACTACGATGAGAAAGGAATTATGAGCGATAAGATTTTATTAGAAGCTCTTAATTATTAGGACTTTGGTCGGACTAAATTCAGTAAATTTGTAATGAGAAAGGAACCATTTTACTTCTAGAACTCTTAAACAAGTATTTAGGTAGTCCCCTAGTATAGATGATTAAATGCACTTCGATGATTAAATCAGTCACTAGTATATATGTATTTGGATGTGAAATGTGTGAAAGATGTAGAGCCACATTAGTGTTCGGACATCGAGAGTATGATCGAATAAATATGAGAGCAATATTATTTGAATGTATAAAATTGCATTACCTTCAAATTGTACCAAGTGTGGGCTTTTATAGTCGAAGCGGATGAATGATTACCGTTGAATGAAATGATATGTGGCCCTCTCCTGATGGTCGATGCGACTTCTCCTATATATCACTTCATCAATCGTATGTTCATGAACATTTAATATTTTTGAAAAGTAGTTACCCTATAGTTTAGGTATGAGCTTTGAAAAGTATATTAACAGTTGATCGTGAGGCATCTGCTGCACAGAGATGTCACATCAATAAATCATAGAAAGATCTTGTACGAAAGATCTATGGAAAGAAACGAAGTGGGAAATGTCTTCTCTCATTAGAAGGCCAGCTGAATCGAATTCACTCACAGTAAATTATAGCATATTGCCTAGGTCATGGAGGGTCGGCCTCTAAATGACACATCAACTGAGATGATGCACTACTCCGGCTACCTTAATATATGGTCTTGGCTAGGCTACTTAGACTAGTGATGTGGAGTGCGGGTCTAATTAAACGTGTTAGTTGGTTGCCACATGACCATTGTTTGGAGTCTCATTAGAGGAGGCATAACACCAATAAATGTTGAACTAAAATGCAATTTTTATATTTTGACCCATAAAAAGAGGTGTCAAACACATGGAACAATCATTTTATAGATATCTTATACGACTCCTAATATTTGATATATGTTATTCGATTTGGACGAGTCGATGCAAAAAAGTCGAGTTTGAAATTCTCCTAAACAAATTCATAATGAATTTGCCCAATGCTATATTGTGTTGAATTTGTGCATATCTACTAAAACCTACATCATATGAATTAAATCAAAATAAAAGTAACTTTTAACGACTTATAGCATTTGATATATTTGGGGTCAATTGTGTCATTTTTTGAAACCTCGTGCACTGAACGCGAAGGCCAAAAGTTATGCACTGATTTCCTAGAATGGCACATTGACTCTAAAATATATCAAATGCTATAAGTCGCCAATGGTTACTTTTATTTTGATTTAATACCTATAATGAAGGCCATATCCTTGAGTTTAGTAGAAATACAAAAATTAAACATGATATAGCATCGGACTAATTTATTATGAATTTGTTAAATCTCTAGACTTTTTTTGCACCGATACGTCCAAGTTGGGTAGCTTATATCAAATATTATGAGTTGTATCAGATATCTACAAAAGGGTCATAGCCCCATGTGTTTGACACGTCTATTCACAGTTCAAAATAAAAAATATGCATTCGAGCTTAATACTTGTTGGTATATTGTATGTTGTATAATTACATAAAACTTAGGAGGATAATTAAATATTGTTCAAGGATTCTTGAAGTACAATAAGTCTTGAATTAACTTCTAGATATCTTGATACTAAGGTAAACAAACTTCTCTAAATAATTGAGTTGACAACAAGATTCGAACTAACCATTACTTGATATGATACTATAATGAACAAACTTGTCCAAAACTAAAAACTCATTGGGAAAGAATAAACTTATTTTTTTGAGTTATGACCTAAATAGATTATTAGTTAATATACAATATCAGTCAATATTATTGATATTGAAATATGTCTGGATTGATCATTACATGACCCAACCTTACACGTGGTCTCCGATTATTGAATAATAATCAAGATTGGTCAATCTTAGGAATCAAAAACCGTGTGTATTTAGTGTTTAAAGGGTGATTAGTTTAACTTGATCAAGATAGAAAATATGTGGCTAGAAATGGGTGGCCTATTCACACGCGTAATCCCTGGTTTGGTATCATTTTGATCTGTGCTTAAACTGTTTCTTTCTAGTACATTTTATTACATTCTAGACAATCAAAGTAGGAATAACAAACAAGTAGAGCTCTTTGCAAGCTTGATTCATCCTTACTCGATTCATGATTGACTTGAGCTCGTTTTGTGATAAACAATAGACGAGTCGAACTCAAATTTTTTTGTGAGTTGGCTCATGAACCGGCTCATTTTTTATTTTGTTTTATTAATTTTGTTGCCAAAAGGAGTTGATTTGGAGGCTCATGGATTGCTTCAACTCGATCCATGAGGCTCACGAGCCAAAGGGTCGAACCATGCCTTGTTTGTGTGCACGAGCCGAGCTCAGTTGTCAGAGGATCGAGTCGAGTCGGTTCGGCTCAATCCATTGTAAGTTGTAACCTTCCTAAATAAATGCGTGATTCCTAGTACAATATTATTATGACTTCAATTATTTGGTAATGACTTATAAATGGAGAATATTTTTTATGACGCTAATTAAAGTAAATAAAAAAGATTTGAGAACATCATGAGCCTTCATCTTCGATCTTTTTCACATGTGACAACTAGGCTATTAGGGAGACGACTTAACGTAATGAATGAAATTCTAGAGTCTTATTATATAGCAAAGAGAGAATAGAAGCAGATAAAAAGGATGAAAATATACGTAAGGTTGAAGTTTTGTGCCGTGCCTTATAAACTAAGAAATAGGTTTTGTTTTTCGAAAATATAATACAAAGGGGTCTTTAATTAACTTTTATTTCTACATATTTCAATATGTTATCTTTTGTAAAAAAAAAAAATTTAAATATACATGTTTGGCGAATGTTTATAAACATAAACACTTGCTAAAAGTCAATTTACGTATTACTTTAGAAGTTCATACGCTATCCATGTATCGACCATTTATTTACTAAACTTATGCTACCTCTTTTGAAATTAATTTTTGAATAAGCTCAAAACAAACAATTATATTATTTTCGAATTTCACCGATAAAAATATTATTTAATTTTAAAGTTTTACTTGTTTCCTTGCAAGTGAATCTCTTAATCTTAGCCAAACATGCTCTAATTTCAGCATTCACACCAATAATGATAGTTGTTTATTATTTTTATAAGAGCATCTTCAATACGTACTATGAATTGTCATCTAGACGACAATTGAGTTGCAAGAATTCTAATTTGGATTAGTACAATGTCTATTAAATAGACATTCAAGTTCAAATTTCATCTCGAAAAGATTCAATGTATAATTCAAAAGGACTGCTTATGTGTATTTATAAGCTCTAAAATAAAATAAAAATTTGAGATGGGGAGAGAGAGAGAATTTAATTGTGTGTGAAAATTTTAAAAAATTGAGAGAAGAAAGCTTTAGTCCCTATTTGTCATCCTTTAAAAATTTAAATTGTTTGCTATAAGATCGTTTTCCATCACACATTCTATACATAAATCAATACAGTTTTTTTATTTTTTAATTACACATTCTCTAAAAAATACTATTCAATAACTCATTATTCTCGAATAAATTCTATCAAACAGTCCTTAAATTTTGTTCATTGGCTTGTTTAACTAAGTTTCTACATCTAGATAGACTTCTTGACAATGTCTATTTGTTTCTTTTGTCACGTCATATATATCCACGATCGTTAGAGCTCTCTTATTGAATTGGTCCTTCAACGAGCACTCTCTAAATTATCCATGATATGTTAGAAATCTAACCATTTGCTGATTCACCACTAATATACTTATCTATAAAAATATATAAAAGAAATAGATAAACAAACATAGAGAATAATAACATTCACAAAAAATAAAAAAATATTTTTTGGTACTTCTTAGTTGAGAAATATTTTTAGAGCCATGCTTGGGTACCAGGCAGAACCCCTACAGAACATGCACAAACATGGGAGGGGTGGGAATTTTTGGGGTCATTTTTTAATGAGGTGGGACTCACCTTATCTGAAGGATCTGAAAAATTTCTGTTGAAATGGTTCTGTACATTCAGCAAAACTCATATTTTTACTTGTGTTGTCTTAACTATTCGATGGTAATCATTATATTTTACTCAAAACACGAGTGGATAAAAATCTCTTTTCGATCCTTTTAAGTACTAGTTATGTAAATTTCCAGTGCACTAACACTATATAGCGTTGGTTACATGATTTTATTTTAATGAAGGGGGTACAAAATGTTGGATGAGTAAATATATATTTATTATGTGTATTCGAAAACTGATACATATAATTCAGTGTAAATCGAGAAAAATTTATAACCCATCAGAAAACAAGTACTTGTGTGGTGCAGATAGATAGAAGAAGAAAGATCAAAAGTAGAGGAGAAAAAAATGTCCACGTGGATAGCCCCATCAAAGAAGATGAGGATGGAGTTGATGATCTTATTGGTCCGAAATCTATCTCAAGGAATTCCTAGATTTCACTTGTCCTACTTGGCTGCACCCAAATCAATCCTTTTGATTTCCCCACTCCAGATAAACCATATAGTCCAGTTTCAGTGTCTGTATCAGTACCAATTTGTCTAGGCGGAGAGAGAGATAGAGAGTTAACAGAGAGAAATATGGCTTCAACATCTGCTGCATTGGTGAATGGATTGGGCTCTTCTGCATTCTTGAATGGTGGCAAGAACGCCCAGATTTTGTTGTCTGCGCCAATTGCAGCTAGAACTGCAGTGTCTCCTAAGAGGTTTGCTGTGGCTGCTGCTGCTGCTCCTAAGAAGTCTTGGATTCCTGGTGTTAGAGGTGGTGGCAACTTCATCGACCCCGAGTGGCTCGATGGATCGTAAGTATCCTGCTTGCCACCATCCCTCCCCCTTCAACTATAAAGTAGCCCTCGACCATCAACAATATTATGATTCGGAGTTTTATCTTAAAATGTGAACTTTGTTAAGAGTAGTAATTCAAGTCCGACTTGAGATTTTATTAGTGTAGCTCTGCCACAAATTGGATAGTTTCTCGTTGAACAAGGCTACATGTACTGGGATTTTGACAGAATGCTGTTCTGTCATTGGATGGGGGGCAGTGCTGCCAACACTACATCTGTAACTTGTACAGGATGATTGACCCTATACATGTAGTTTAATTCTTTCTCGTTTATTGTCGAATAATCTTATGAGCTGGTGACTAGTATCGTGTGCACCATTTGAATCAATTGTTTTTTTTTTTTGAAATTTTTTTTCTTCTTTGAAATTCCATATTCACAACATCGCCTTGAGATTAATATTCTGAACGCTCCTATTGCAGGCTCCCTGGTGACTACGGTTTCGACCCGCTAGGTCTTGGAAAGGATCCAGCATTCTTGAAATGGTACAGAGAAGCCGAGCTGATCCACGGCAGATGGGCAATGGTTGCAGTCGTTGGCATCTTCGTTGGCCAAGCTTGGAGTGGCATCCCCTGGTTCGAAGCTGGCGCTGCACCTGGTGCTGTTGCGCCCTTCTCTTTCGGCTCTCTCCTCGGCACCCAACTCCTCCTCATGGGTTGGGTCGAGAGCAAAAGATGGGTCGACTTCTTCAACCCGGAATCTCAATCTGTCGAGTGGGCTACTCCATGGTCGAGAACTGCAGAAAACTTCGCCAATGCAACCGGCGAACAAGGCTATCCCGGAGGCAAATTCTTTGATCCTTTGGGCTTTGCCGGTACACTCAAGAATGGAGTTTATATCCCTGACACGGAGAAGCTTGAGAGATTGAAACTTGCAGAAATTAAACATGCAAGACTTGCTATGGTGGCTATGCTTATATTCTACTTTGAAGCTGGCCAAGGGAAGACACCCCTTGGAGCTCTTGGATTGTAAGGAATCTTGATTTAAGAAATAAATTCAATGTAGAGAGAATTCAAATTGTTTCCACTTATCTTTGGCTTTGTAAAATTAATGATCAAATAATAATATAAATATATAATAGTTGAGATAACATATATAAGCGTTAAAAAGAATATTGAACTATCGAGCTACAATGAAATATATATTACAATGGCTCGATTTTTTCCATTGGCATCTAAAAATATGTCGAGCTATTATAGGTTGCGGAAGGAAGTTTTTAAAACTGCGATGGCTGGTGAATGTGCTCCCTCTGAGGCATGAAAGCTTGGGTTCTAAAGCGCGAATCGAACTCTTACCATTGATAATTGATGTCATAACAAACTTAAGTACTTCTAATATTTCGAAACACCAGAATGAACATCAACTTTCCCTTGTATGAACTTAGATATGGCCTCCACAATTTCCCGTCTGTTATTTCTACATATGGTTCCTATACAAAACAAAAAATAAAAAAATTCCATTTCCTGCATCCACATTTCCACTTCTTTTTTGCATTGGTCCAGGACCAGTCCATCTACCATCCACATCTGCATATGGACTTAGCTGGATTTTCTGGTCTTTGGTTTGGAGTGGGGGTGGAGTGAGGAAGAAGATGAGGTTTTGAGGGTGAAGATGGGGGTGGAGGTGAGATTGGAGAAAGTTTGGGATTGTGGGTGATACAATTATTTTATTTGAGTATAATCTGCAAAAAAATAAAAAATTTGAGATTACAACTGCAATTATTCCTTTTTCATTTCGGCCTTGTTTAAGTGAATTTAAAGGTTCTAGTAATGGACTTAGACAATAGGGAGGTCTTTTGCACATAAACGATCGTCAAAGGGATTTTTTGTTAATTTGAAATGATAAGAACTATTCTACAACGGAGATAAGGTCAAAGGAGTTTTGTGCCAATTACTCAAAATTAAATAATTACAATGCAGAGTTGACTGACTTTTTAGCGGAAAGAGGGCCTTCAGATATTGAAATTAAATGAAAAGATTGAGGACACTGTTTTATAATATGGACCACTCTATAGTTTGCGATTTGGGCATTAATTAATTAATGAGAAATGTTATAAATTTATGATAAAATTGAGTTGGAACAAAATGATGATTATAAGTTCTAGATAGTATTTAAACTTTTTCTTCTCTTTTTTACCTTGCGTCACAATTAAAGTTCGAGAAGGAAATTGTGTCGGTAAGATTGGTCTATTAATAATATATTCCGTTGCTAAAAATAAATGCATGCAAAATGAACAAATGACGATCGAATAAAATGTGGAAAATGCAAAAAACAGAGGATAAAATGAAGTGATGTATGTTGTTACAAATATCCTTAAGACGGATTTTATCCCCTTCAAGGGTGCTAATAGGATCAAACTAGGGGTAAAAGGTGGGGGCGAGCAGCTTGCCCTGGACATGTGGTGAGCAGCAATTTGACCATGCGAGCCGCTCACCAACTCATCAAATTGAGAAAAATATGCAATATTAATTTTGTCGAACAAACTAACCTTGATCGTATCTTTCTAGACTGAATGATATTGAATGTTATTTTGATTGAATTTCGAAAAAGAAGAATTTAGAAATCAATTATTTGGATAAAAAAATGGAATTAGGAGGTCCAATTTTTAGATTTCACTGTGTCTATTTTGAATGGTTGCATTTTTGGTATAAATTAATTTTGACCATTTGATTACATTATTTCAGATTGAGGCAAGGTATGACGATTTAAGTTTCATTTTATTCAAAGGTCATGACTCTTCAGTATGCGTTCATTGCACTTAAAGAATCACACACAATCATCACTCCTATTGAAGACTCATTCCAATTCATACATTTTAATTATTAAATAATCCCCCTAACAAATTCAATAATTAATAGGAACTCCCATTTCTTTTTGTGCCTCATATGTGAACTAAAGTTAATTTCACAAATAAGTAGTATATGTTCTAAACACACTTCATCAAAAATAAATGATACTAATTCATTCTAAAATAAAGGAACTTTACTCGCACGTAGTAACAACTAAATTTTTGTAAACATTTTTTGACCTTGTATAACTACCAAAGTTTGAGAAGGAAATTCAATTAAAGTAGTGAACTCTCATTCCCCCCTCCCCCCCGCCCCACCCTTTTTTTTCCCCCCCCCCCCCCACCTTTTTTTTTGGGTACTTCTTATATGTACTAAATATACAATCAATAATTATAAATAATAACAAACAATTGTAAAATTGAGAACACTTACGTGCATGTTGAGAAGCTCCATTGATTGAAATATGATCCCACAAGTTGTAGTAAACCTGCCATCTAGCCCTTAATTATTTGTGGAAGCTCGAGAAATAAAATGAAATTAGATTATTATTTTGTGATAATCTAGCACCACGAGCCTAACACATTTAAGAAACGAGCTATGGAAGCTCAACCTATTTAAGATTATGCAAGTCCAACCCTATAAATTAATTAAAAACCCAACAATTTAAGAGATTAAGTTTAAGTAAATTTGATTACAAAGATTTAATAAATAACTGAGTTGCCTCAATAGTCATCTACATAGTATTTCATATAGGCAAGAATCCAGGTTCGAATCACCATGCATGGAACCCATTCTAAAAATATTTTTGAAATTGTTTTATTCTAGTATTGAACTATTTTTAAAAAAGAAAAAAGAAAAAAAAATTCTTGAATTAAATTCTAAAATTTAATCTTTATACCTTCCACTAAAAATATAGTTAATTAATTTACGGCTAAAGTACAGTTAATCTAGTGACGTTTCGATCTATGCGGGTCGGAGCGTTACATTATTTATCCTTTTTTTCCAATGGATTCGTTGTATCCATGAATTAACTACAGTAAATTTGTCTAATATAGCCAAATGAGGTTTTTTAACACTTCATACTTTATATTAAACGACTATAAATAAGTACACTAATCAATAGTAACTTTCAATCGAACATGCCAAATATTGATTTACCATTCTCAGCCTCAAGCTTTCGTTCACCATATGAACGCAAAAGATTTGGTGAAGTTTGTACATTCAGTCAAAATATCGAATTTTATCTTTTATTGATATTGTAAACTATGAAAGAGTTAGAGAGATTCATGGTTAACTAATTATAAGTTGGCTTATCACAATAAAATATGTGTTATTTTTTATTCATTGAAGAAATCTACAATAACTAGTGCCAAACAATCGAGTGATACGAGCATTTCAATTGGTGGATCTTAAAGCACTTGTTATTTCTATCTGAAAAACGGAATAAAGGACACATGAATAAAAGTTCATTAAGTAAAATCGTGGTTGGGTGGAATCGGTTGCATCTACATTACGTAACATGTGTAGGTCCTTCAACCTTACCAATTTTTAAGTCCTGTTTGGTGTGGATTAAAATCAGATTTTTAATAAATTTTGATAAAATTTGATGAAATGTGTGATTAAAAAGTTGTGGGACTTATGAAATATGTGGTTAAAATTAATTGTTGACTTTGACTTAAATTAAAATATGAACTTTTATTGATACCAAACATGGACTAAGGCCAAAGCGGTTTGACTGTTTATTACATATAGAAGGCCTTGACCAGTCTTGCTCAATTTTGTTACTTCTTATCTTATAATGCAACAATCATGCTATATATCTAGGCTCAAATTTAGATAAAACACGTGTCGACGCATGATTAGATGGTTTGAAAAATTAAAATAAAAACATCCAATCATTTTCTGACACATCAATCGGTCTCTTCACTCCCTATTTTTAAGCCTGGTTAAGTGTTTTTATTCATAATGCAATGGTGAAGACACAATTCAATCAATGAAGTAGTCTATTCATAAGACCAGTATTTTGAAAAATCTTAAAATAATTAAAATAATACTAAAAAATAAGAAAATACCTTATTACATCTAAATTTTATTTATATACATCTAGACTCATACGATTTGAGGCTTTATCTTGTCACCTTATTACATTCATCGTGGATTTTAAAACTTTGCTTATTACCTTTTGATGCAATGATCGAGATCAAATTATCAAAACCAAGTTAAATGAATAATAAATGCAATGATCGATTACAATAGTTTATATAAATAAAGTCAAACGTGTAGTTAAGCTTAATTAGAAGTCCAATAATCCTCAAAATATTTAATTGAATTTGAAACTGAAACTTATTAATCACGTGGAGTTAAGAAACAATAATATGGTAAGACTCATTGTCGCGATGGAATTTGAATTGTTATCCAACAACGGTTATAATAATGGCCAATTATATTGTAAGTCCTTTCCTTTCTTTTCCCGGGAATGATTCGTTCTTCTTCCATGTAAGGGTAGTATCCTATCCTCTTCTTCTCAACAAGTTCATGGTTTCTTAACAATCTTTTGCCTGAATCAGTTTTCATATTTCAAGAACTTACCATCAAATTGCCTCCCACTACGTTGTAAATTCCAAGCCCATATCCATTTAAAATAACCTTACTGTTGTAATCATAGCTTATTTCTCTGGTTTTCCCGGCCTTCACCAATATTTTCTTGTAGTGGCTTCACAGATAATCATAGCTTACTTCTAGTTCTCAACAATCTAATATTTTCTTAGCAATTGGTTCAAAAAATCCATGCAAAAATGTCCCGATAGGTAGAATATAAATTGGGATTTAAACAACAACATTGCCCTAAACTGGTGCAATGGGTGAAACCTCCATTGAGTTGTCTGAAACTCAACACAGATTGTTGTTTCAGAGGTTCATTAGTCGCCGACGAAGGAGTTTTGAGGAACACGAATGGGGATGTCGTATTCGCATATCACAAGTTTTACGGTGAAAATTTTTTGAACATTCTCGAGGCAGAACTTCGCGCATTCTTGACGGGTTTGAAACTTTGTTTTGAGAATGGTTATCTTTTCAAGTTCAACATATGGGCAGAAGTCAACTCTAAAGTTGGTATACAATGCGTGGAGGGTCATCCTCACAAATCATTGTCCTCTGAATTTCTTGATATTTTGGACGAGATAAAGTTTTTGTGTTATTGATTCCAAGTCAGTCTTACCCACATTTATCGAGAAGGAAATGGTGCGGCGAATTTCATGGCATCACAAGGTTTCTACAATAGAGAAGTTTTGAGACCAAGAGAAC